GCTTTCGCTATATTGCTCGCTATATTGCTCATCTTTCGTGCATGAGTCAGATAATCGGGAGAGCAAGATAGGCGTTAAATACCCACGATAAAAGTTACTGCGATGATGATAATAATAAAGAGGAGATTGTTCCGTTGATGAAATAAATTGCATAATGAGAAAGGAATGCTTGCGGAAAATTCGCTAAATTTCAATACTGCCTTCAAAAAGGCAACCGAATACTCTACAATACTTGAAGAAAACTTGTTAAATACTATAGTAAAAAAACAATAATACATCAAATTTAATATACCAATTAAACATGATTCGATGTAAATCAGTTTTTTATCAATAAAATCGTAACGTTGTAAAAAATACTGATTGCGTGACGAGAAATACGAAGTATATATACATACGTATATTTAATACTGACGGAAATCATGCTGTGTTATGTAAGAAAATTCACAGACTTTGCCTTGCATCACGTTCTTGGAATCAATACTTTTCAAAAGGCATGCACAGTAGAAATTATCACTTAGCAGTTATTACAGTCTTAAAAGAAGAAAAATACGTTCAATAATCGGCAGACTTGCGCTTTATTATTTTTATTTTTCAAACTCTTATTCGTGATTTTCTGGCTACTTTAATAACTTTATTTTTAATATGTGATTAACATAACTCATTACTCCATTTAACAATCATTAATCTTATTGTTAAATAAAGAAATATTATCCTTATTAATTAAATAAATAAAAATATAATTGACCTCTTATTATTATGTCAAGTTCTACTAAATTAAATAGTTGAAATTAATTAAATTTACAACTAATTAAATAGTTGTAAAATTGTGTAAAATTTACTATAAAAAGTTAGATCAATAATATAAGTATATCTTTTATCCACGCAGCACTCGCTATTTTTTTTTTTTAATATCAAGCTTCGTATTTATTACACGCGTAAAAAATTTACCTCATGGATTAGGTAACGTAAACTTTGCTTACACAAAGATCTCTCGTGCATATCATACAAAAGCAACTTGTGTTACGCATATTGTGCGCTACGAGATAATCCAAGTCGTCGTCAAACAAACGTCAGAGGCGTCGCTTCGCCGAAGGAGAACCGGTGTCCGGACGTTTTCGGAGCGACATGCTGCGCAAACATTCCTAAGACAAGAACGTCGACATTCACACGACCTCAATCATTAAATAACGATTCTTGTTTTAATGACAGAGATATTTTTATATAAAAATTCAGTATATCTCGAAAACCCGTTTTGAAAGAAATTATGCCCGATTGCACCAACGTCATTTTGGCTTCAAGTTGGAACTTAAATATGTGTCTATTTTTATCTTTCTTTTTAAACAAATAAAGACACACATATATATTTAAGTATCGTTTAAAACCAAAATGACGTTGATGCAGTCAGGTCTTAATTATTCTGCTTATATGCGCGACTAAAAATCTAAAACTTGAAATAATCGATTCAACTGTGTCAACTGTTGCTACAAAATTAGTCTAAAGATCAATGATATATCTCTATGAAAACAATTCGAGTCATTTTACGATCACTATAATATAAACAATCGTACAAAGTGACAGGTCGGTGCTTCTGTTGATTCTCGCATAATCTTTGAAAGATTTACTGCGGCCGAGCCGGGGTGATTCTTTTTTCTTGAAACCACTAAAATATGTATAGCGCAAGTACGAGTGCAAATATCTCGGAAGTCTGTTCCAATCAATGATCGCATCGATAATGCATCCCGTAATCGCGACGCTCGATCTATTTCCGGCGACTCGTTCGCCGACCAGTTCGTGCTTACTTAGTCGAATTAGAGCGACCCTCGCGAATAGAAAGCGGATGTTACGAATGTATCGTCGCAACGATTTTTTTTTTTGACGAATGACGTGAAATCGAAGCGACATTACGAAAGAGAGATTTTTACACGTCGCGACTGGCACATCGTCGTTTTCGCAAGGTCAAACGATTCGTCCTCGTAACGGGGAATCGGCGTTGCGTAGAGAAAGTCTTCGGCGCACGATCGAAATACGTAACGGGCAGAAAACGGAGGAGAATTTTGACACCGAGTGTAGGCCTAGGCGACCGCCATGATGGCGGTTTATCGAGTCGCGCGAAGGGCGGCCGGGCGGCTTGGCCGGAGCAGCGGCGCATCCGGAAGTCGTGAGATGCCGGAATATGGAATTCCACTAGTTACATACCTGGAGCTCCCTGACGGAGCTGCGCTCGGAGCTTGGAATTCCCGGCTTGATGCTTCGGCCTCTGTCTCTCTCTCTCTTTCTTTCTCCGCTTTCGCACTCGCTCCCTCTGCTCTTCCTCGTCGTCCTCGACTCTCACATCGATGACTACGCACTTTCCTCGTCACACCTCTCCGTCTCGAGCACCGTCGACTCGACGGGCAAAGAGAGGAAAACGCACCGACGACTCGAGTTTCCTCTCGCTGTACCTCTCCACGGAGAGAAAACACTATCACCGCACCCGAGCCGTTCTTTAAGGTTAACTGTCGCGGCGGACAATCGTGACGACAACGGCCAGCGACGACGTCGACGACGACGACGACGACGACCGACGATCTACGACCTTACGTGGACGTTATCGCAACGGCGAGCCGGCGGGGCGACACGGGACGATCGCGTGTCAACGTCTCGAGATGCACGACGCTCGGATCGTCGTCGACGATTGTTTTCATTCGACGACACACTCGAAAAACTCGACACGAACGAAACTAGCAGAGCTGCTGCTGCTGCTGCTGCTACTGCGGCTGCTGCACCTTCACACGGCTCTGGCGGGCGGCAGGCAGGGCGGGGCTCCGTGCTTCGACTCTCGTGAACCCCGTGTAGCCGCGAACCGCAGCGCCGGTAGCCGAGGAGCGCCGAGCGCGCCCGAGCGCTTCCGAGCGCTCCCGAGCGCCGCCGAGGCCGCACGACGCCGTGGCTCGGCCATTATTCAAAATTCCGGCGTCGCGGCGGGCGGTAATGTTTGCGTGTTCCTCGCGCGATTTATTATAAATTACGCGAGTGTCGTCGACAGAAATCTTTCATGGAATGATGTCCCACGTGAGCGCGACCACGCGAGAGCGATGGAGATCACCGCCTCGTCGTCGGCAGAATGTTAAGTAAGTGCAGCGAAAATTGATCGTGCATGTAGTTTCGGCGATTCGCGTAATGGCGGATCGAGTTTGAATTTCTACGCGGTTCTGCCAACTTAATTTTCCTCCCTTCTCACGATTTATTTATCCTGTACGTGATATTTGAATTTGTGAATAATCCTTCGCTTTATCGTCGAGTTAATGACGGAGGGTAAGTCGAATTTATGTACTTTTTTACCGAAATCGCGGCACAAGATTGCCGATTAAAGTTGACGTGACCAAAGGCGCCAAAAGTTCATGCATGATCGTAATCGATATTTATTTTACACAATTTTTGGCCACGCTACACAATAGTGTTATATTTAATGCATATATTAATGTTTACGCGCATGTTTATTTTTGGAGCTATATATATTGCTAAGTGCGAATGTAAATATGTTTTTATATGAGTAATACGAGCCGAGCTTGTTTGAATTTATTTTATGTGAGGTATGTATATACGTGCCAAAAATGTGAGGCATGGCATTATTAAAGGAAAAATTTATCGCGGCGGATAATATAATTCTCTCGCCTCTCACTTCGCTAGTAAAGTCACATTCTCTTTATCCGTTCTGGGTATGGAATAGCTCTTTCTTTTACCCACGACTCTCTTTCTTTTACCTCTTACTATTCCACGATAACTTTATCGACGAGAGATATCCGCAAAATAACACAATCAATATACGACATCGATCCGTCCCTTCTTGCAAATCCATCCTATTTTCTCGTTAGCAAACACGTAACCCCTGCGAACGACATGCAATGTGTAAATTAATATGTAAAAAAATAATAGATATTTTTAATTATATGCCTCAATGTACAAACTGCATTTTTATTAGCTTTATAATAATTAAAAGAAAAGCGTTACACATACACACATTTTTTGCATAAATAAAATTTCTCCCTTGAATGATTTTTATTTATATATTGTACACGCTTTATCTATTTTATTTTATGTCGAATACAATCAGATAAACGTAACAATCGTGAGTAAAGAAAACGATTGCGTTATATAATGTCACGCTCATCGGCATAACATCTCTCTTCGGTATATATCAAAGTATCTCACACACTATCGCACAATTCAAAAGTTCATTTTATTTCAACGAATATAAAAAACATCAATATTTTTCAAGTTATCGTAATAAAAATTTTTTTGCACGCTAAAAACTCCGAAAAAACAAAGAGATAATAAAATGCATTTTGTATACAGCATTGTATCGCATGTTTTATATCACACCTATATATTTTATTCTAATACAATTTTTATTCGCTTGTCGATATATTTATTCTCAATAATTGAAAACCCATGAAAAGATATAATGTTCAATCGTATCGTTTCTCCTAAATAATTTTGCCATTCACTATAGATATATTTTATTGAAATTTAAACGATGAAAAAAAGCTATCCGGTACGGAAACGAACGGACGGATCGTCGCGTTACAGTGGAATAAACCGAAAAATGAAAGAACCCCCGGGGATGCAGGACGCGTTATGTCATTATGTCCTCGTGGATTGGCGGATACATCGTTCCGCTGGCGGCGACCCCAAAGCTCATCACCCTCGATGACGGAAGACAGAAGGGCGCCGAACGTATAGCGAGAGGATCGGCGCGACCTGTGTGCGGAACCTTATCAATATTATCAGTGGACGACGGCGAGGCGGAGTGCGGCGGGAAGGATTGCGGACAGAAGGGGTTGGGAAGGCGGTATGCGATCGCGGTGGGTGAACCTGAGTGGGGATGCATATTCCGCGACGCAGGCGCCGTAGGCACGATCGCCTCCCCTCCTCCACCCCTTTTGTTACGTACCGACGTCGACGGCGTCGTCGTCGTCGTCGTCGTTGCCGCCGTCGCCGTCGTCGTCATCGTCGGGAGAGAGACAGAGAGAAAAAGAGAGACGTCGACCCGTCTCGCGCCTCCTCTCGCGCGAATCAGTTCTCCGACTGAACACACGACGGCGACTCGCGGAAACCGCGGGACTCGGGTGAAAGCGACGAGGGTAATCGCGTCGTCGCGAATTCGTTATCGGTCACTCGCGAACTCGCGTTCGCGAAAATACGAGAGAGAGAGAGAAGGAGAGAGGATAGAGGGAGATATTACTTGCGGAACACGCGGCGGAGCAACAGTGTTCGGCGACCTTCTTCTGGAGTGCGCCGGCCGGAGACGGTGATAGGGGGCAAGTCAGGTGTCTCCACGCTCGAGCAGAGGCAGAGGAGTTCGAGAGAGGGTCGCGAGGTCAGCGAGAGGGCATCGTGTCTCCGCGATTTGGTTCCGCGAAGGCGTGGTGGGTCACGTTTGCGGGTGACAGCGCAAACACGTGAAAGAGAAGGACATGGGATTGATAGTGAAACTAATCGCGATATGTGCTGATCGATCGAGAGATAGGTATCTCTAATCGAATAAGACAGAGACTAGTGATAGAATCGAAGAGTATAAAGAACTTTCGCCGATTATTATGCATCATCCGAATATCTCGGTCAACTTCCCAACGTCATCCCCCGTAACGATCTGATCTCGACGCGCGCTTCGTGGCTTGCTCGTGATAAGTGTCGTATGCGAAGGATTTTTTACGGAATTCGGCGTGGCTACGCGTGTCGAGGGATATCCCGAGAGAGCGGACCGCGACAAAGGCGGTAGTCGGGCATGGTCGCGGAGGATGAGGAAGAAATACAAAAATAGCTGTCCTCGTGGTTGACCGGAGATGCACAGCTGACCAGCCGCGTCAGGGTACGAGAGAGCGAGAGAGAGAGAGAGAGGGAGAAAGAAAGAGAGAGAGAAGGAAAAAAGGAGAGGAAAAGGAATGTTCGATTAACATAAGCGAGCGCTACGTCTCCGCGACAACCTTTCGGTTCTTTTGAACGAAGAATCGATTCGATCGCGGGGTTTCGTGTAAACGCTCCGACTGCAAAACACACCACGTGCCTTCACCGTCGTCGTCGAACAGCTCCGCTACCCTGGGCGTCGCGACGCCCAACTCCCTCTCGCACGGGCCGAAGACGAGGAATTGTTTTTTCTCCATCGTTCGAGTACCGAGCGACTCAACAACGACGTCGTGGAAATGTCCGACTTATGCGCCTCATCATCGAGACACCCACCGTTCGCGATCTCGACCCTCGTGACGTCTGACTTCGATCCCACCAGGTCCATCGGCGAGATCCGCGAGTATCGCCGAGGAGTGCCTGCGGTCAGGAACGCGAACCCGCCGAGGATCGAAGCCACGAGGTTGTTGACCCGCCGCATCGCGACGCCGTCGCGTCAATATTTTTCGGCTATATCGGATCGCACGATCATAAATTGAGGATTCCCGAGGAATAGGAATTCAACGATATGAGAGCCTGTCGACGAGGGAGGACGAATCACGTCAAGGACGGACGAGTCGCGACGGAGGCGTCGTCGTAGCTCGTCTCCCTGAATCGTCGACGACGATCAGGTGGAGACCGAATCCTGCGGAGGGTTCGCCGAAAAACGCCGGCCGTAAGAAAGATCCGTATATATTTCCCGCATATCTATAAATAGATGTTTTCTCGCGTGGATACCGCCTCTTGAAATACATCCGTTGGCCACGGCACACATCACGAAAGTGACGACGCGTGCACGTGCGACACGTATGTCGGCCGTTCGACAAGGTGGTGGTACCGACCTTCCTCGTGGACGATCGACGACAGGACGCTCCGCGCCGAAGATCTTAAACGTATATCTAGATAGAGACGAGAATTTTCCGGGTCCAAAACGAACAGTCGGCAGATTACGTCGGCGTCGAGCCTTTCGCGATTCGTAGCCGCGCTCTCTCCTGATAGTCTCCGAATTCGCAACATATCGCGAAGACGAGACCAAGACCAAGAACAACGACCACGCGACCCCGGTGCTCCTGTGCGGACGGAGTAAAAGACACGAGATAAGAGAGCAGCTGCGCGGGAAAGACAACAATCTCTTCCTCGTTTAGCTGCCCGTACGCTTCTTCGTGTCCGCTAAGAAGCCCGAGGAAAGCAGAGACGAATGCATCGCTGATTTACGCCGCGATCTTCGTCCGAGATTACAGCAACGAAAAAAAAAAAAAAAAAAAAAAGATATATATATCTTTCTTTTCTCTTTCCTCCTTGAGTCAAAAGTCGCGCGATACGTTACTCTATCTTACGGCTATGATCGCTATGCTCAACTCGTGCTGTGCTTTTTCTACCGTGCTCGTGCATTGTATGCCGCGAGTGTTTTTTCCTAGTGCTTTAGTATTATCGCGCGATAAATTAGAGATATAGGGCCCGTCGCGCCCACGTCACACGGTCAAACGCGGAAGTTTCGGCTGTCCAGATACCTGATAATTCCTGTTCCTGAGATGCCTGTTAGACGAGGTCACGTGGCGCCCAGAACTACGATCATCGAGACCATCATCAGAAAGTTCGATACACACGGTAAGCCGAGATAAATCGCGACGCGAGATACATCGCGCGTCCCATTAATTATTTCACTGAAATAATCAACGTGGATTTAGAGTAGCGATATTTTTGAAGGATAAATGACCATGGAAAAATAATCGTACCTGCAATAATCATTTTACGCCGACAGTTTGTTCGCATAAAAGAGAAAAAAAGATTTATTCCACTGCAACGCAAGGCAATACGCGAGTTTCATTTTATTCGGCGATATCGATGTCATTGCATAACATTATGTTGATTGTAGAAATTATGATAATGACATTTCTGTTTGTGTGTCGATTAATTCAGCAATTTTATCATTTAACGGCGCGACATGGTGAACATTCGTCTGACAAAGACGGGTTAAGTTTTTAATGAACGTATTGGCGCGAATGCGGAATATTATTTCACTCGATTATCATAAATTTTCATAATATTATATATATTCGGTGTTTTATTATCGCGCTCTGTGTGAATTAGTATTCAAGATCGTTTGTGCGATAATTTTATACAAGAAATAGAAATTAAATATGAACATATTTTACATTAATTTCAACGCAATCGTTTACACGTAAATGTCGCTCGCAATTTGTTCTTTTCATCCTCTGCGATTGGTTTTCATTTTAAAGATCAAAACTGAAAATTGTCCGTTCCCTTTGACAAACGTAAAAATGCAATCGAAATATTAAGAAGTAATTTGGTTGAAATATGCGGAACGTGCAGGCATTTCGAGTCGAAGGTTTATTTTTAATATTATGTAAAACATCCCGACTATGGTACGCGAAATGAGTGTGGAAGGGTTCGATTAAATGGAGGAAAGGGGTAGCTCTATGTCACAATGGGACAATGCATGTCACTAGCAATATCACTCTAGAAATGCTTCAAGTCCTTGCGAGACGGGGAGCGAATGCGAGAAGAGGGGAATCGAATTGATTACGAGAATGGAAGAGAGATAGAGACACGATAGAGACAAGCAACCGTTTCTTTTACATAGTCGCGATTTATTGACAAGAATAGTCCTTGAAGAGATTGCTCGTTTAGATAAGAATATTATATATGTGTACTTTAATATATAACGCTATAATCTAAAGATCATATATTTTCTATCACAAAACGAGGGATGTGATGTATTTCATGACTTTTTTTTACTAGTAACAAAATCGCAAATGGCAATTTTACGCAGACATAAAGTTATAAATCAAATATGTGTTTAGACTGCAGTTGTGGATATAGGCAGATTCAAAATTCGTGACATTAGTATGGTATCAATCTCTTGCAATATATTATATGACACATGCACAATATATATTCTTTCGATATTATAACTCAAGGTTAACTGATTGAATTGTTATTAAATAATTTCATATTTGTGATGCGATATTAATCGTGCAGCTGACAAAAACGCGATATATCGCACACTGAAACTCATTGCCATAACTAAATGTTAATATATGCGTTTGCGCGTAGTTGTATCGAATCTCTTAGAGTTTGCGAAAAAATCTACGTTTCCATTTAAATATAAAATGTTATAGATATATGTCAAGCAAAGTAGTTTGAGAAATTTTATTTATTTTTATACAATTTAATACTATATATATTACAATTGTAGTTATCTTATTAGTTATATTATTAATTACATATATTTAGTAGGGGTATATTATTAGTTCTCTTATGATTTACTAAGCATAAAATAACATATTTTAAATATTCCAAAATATATAAGCCCCATCATACTTGACTGGCGTAAATGCGATTCAACTTACATTTTCTTTCAAGGGTTAGTTAGAATTAAGTCGTTCAGGAAGGCTGGAGAATTCTTTGAATAGAGGATTTAAATTTACGCCGAGTAAGAGGCTGTCGCTTTTTGCTCTTTTTTCTTCATTTTCATATCCGCACAGACAGTCTATTTTATGAAGAAAAAATAAGCAATACAGAAACAAATATGCAATTGTTTTAATATGTGTAAATTTTAATAATTTATTTATTAACTCGAGTGTTCAAATTTTTTATTATTTTGATTATTCTCGAAGACAATCAGATCAAATTGATTCAGAATAATTTGTACGAAGTTATTATATAGATACTGATCACATCAGAGCAAAAGCAAAATCGAGATAATGTAATTGGCTAATTTCGAAATACCGATGTTATTCCATTTTTTTGGTTGCGATCAAAAACTGCTAATATTGACAATGAACAAAATCGTTTTTATTGCGTTGCATAGATTGCAAAAGAATTCTTGGCTCTCGCTTAATTTAATATACGACGTTACACAGTAAGTAATGTCAAGAGTATAGCAAATGCGACATTAGTCTCCCTTAATCGTTAAATAAATGGCTGCAGTTCTCCTGAGCGGTGAGACTATGTCGAGCAAAAGTGTCAAGTTTATTGGCACATGATGGAAAAATGAAGTTCATAATATGATTGAATAACGATTTTATATATTGGATTTTTCTATATTGGTTCAACAACTTTACAGCATCGCGACGGGCAATTTTCTCTCAGCAGGATTAAATTTATTTTAGTGTTCACATTTTTTCGTTATGTGAAAATGTATAAATATTAACTTTTTACTATCAGTATATCATTTTTTTAATCTATTGCGAATGTTAAATATCCGAAATAATAATAATTCTATAAAACATGAATTAAATATCATATTGTAGCATTTAATGTCAAAAATTTCAAAGTTTTTTTAACAAATATTTTAGCTAAGAAAAGATCGACTCGATAATCTAAAGAAATGTTAGTGCACGCAAAGTTTTACGAAGAGAGTTTGAAAAGACGACCTTTTATCACGAGAGAGGGTAAACTCTCCAAGAATTCCTCAATTACGTGTGTATTTTTGAAAGGTCACTTTTGTGTCAACGCGCCGACAACAATCGATGTTCAAGCTCATTCAATTTTCACTGCTTTCACATTCATACGGAAAGTTTATGCGACCAAATCACGTTTGACAGACTCGGCCACGACTCGGCGCGCGGAAAAGGGGTGCGTGGTAATAGGCATTAACGCGATAACTTCCCTTGAGAGAGAAGACCTTCGTGCACTAATTTATGTAATAAAAAATATGTATGTGTGCCAGTCAAGTATGTCGTGGCTTCTAATCTGACGTCTCTTCTACAGCACTAGTTGTCTATTCTCTGCAGCCACGCATTTACCCCTTTTTTCTTTTCTTATATACTACTCTCGGTCGTGACCTAACGATCCTTACGACCGATCGCGTTACACATGTGTTCCGTATTCTTCACCTGTCCTCTTGAACGGTAATCGAACACGACGTCGCAGAATCTATTCGTTTCCCTGCTGTGAATCGCATCGTCGCGTCGCAGCATCGGAAAAAGTTAAACAATTTAGGGAGAGAAGTATACGAGATAAATCGATAAACTTTTCAGAAATAGATCTGTTTACCGAACGAATGCCAAATTCCTCGCTCGATTCTTCTCTCCCTCAACGTAATCAGCCGGTTTTCCAAGCTAAGATCTAACTTCAATTTGCGCACCCTCTAAGGTCCCGAAGGATATTACTTAACTTTTTTCCTGCTACATAATAGGGTCCGCAGACCTGATGGAATTTGTAAAAGTTTCACACAAGTTGTGCCTCTTTGACCTTTAGATGCAGAAAAGAACGTGTTTTACTTCATATAAATGTCGACTTCGATATAAAAGTCTGTCGTACTTTATTACAAATATGTATCTTTTATACGAACAAAGAACCGATCAAAAAGGACAAAATACAATATTAAAGTACATCGTCAAAAATATTTTATATTAATATTTGTTACATTTCTTATTTCTTTTTCAATAATGACAATAAATTGCGGTTTTTTATACAAAATATTAAAATTATAAATTGACAGAGGCGATTTTACTTGCGTTTTTTCTTGGTATCTACATTTTAAATCGATATATAGAGGCGATTTTATGACGCTTTAATTATAAAGCATTCCTCTCTAATGATCGCGTTCGAATGCCATACGTGTCAAGGACAGACCAGGTTCATTTGGCAAATACTCCAAAATGTGCGCACGCACGCAGAACGGACAGTGGAGAAACCGATAACCGATAATATGTGACATCGGGAACCTGGCACAGGAGCTTCCCTCTTCGTGTACGAAGCTATTAAAAGTCGACAATTGCGACGCTTAGACTTCTCTTTTCGTTTCGATTGACGATGAGCTTTACCATCGTCTCTTATCTCGAAGTTACTTAATCTTCTGCGAAACAATAGACGGCAATCTGTCATTCCTATATTTGTCGACAGAGGCAATAGACGTGCTGTCACTCACGAGAATCGCGTTTGCGTGTTTACGGTCAATTCAAAGCAACGTGATTTACTCCAGTAATTGTATGTTGCACGAACAATAATGCTGAGAGATATATTATAATATTATTATTTTTTTTGTATCGTTTATATACTAATGAAATTATAATCCTTAAGCCATAATTTCAATGATGTAAATATAGAACAAAGATATATAAGATTTAATCCAGCTGGTTGTTCAAGGCGAGTATAATCGGCTTTAAGCGACGAGAACGAGCCATCCTTTATTTAGCATCCATCTGAAAGTCCTTCTGACACTCGCGAGAACGCCAGGAGAGTTAAAAGTCACCGTTACGGTAGATCAATCAGCCACTTAAGTTCCGCCGCGTTTTCAACCCCTTTGAACTTTGCTTTTGCACGTCCAATGTTCACACTGCACAACGTGTGACTCGAAAATTTCCATTAGAGACGTTCATTCGATACGTCGCACTTCCGGCGAGGATCGATCGGCAACTTTGAGGACATCCGATTAATTCACCTCTCGCGCTTTTGCCGAAAAATCTGTTCCGTTTACTTATTGTTTCGCTTAACATTGTTTATTCCAGTCGTCGAGAAACGTGACGGAAAAAAATTGTACACGAGATTACGTGCACGTAAAATGATGTAATGTAGTATTAATATGTAGCTTTCCGCGATCGTGGTGATTTATATTTAGACCGCTTCTTATATAACTC